AACTGTTATATCACAAAATCAAACTAATTTTCAGGATTGACTGTTTGCCATTATAACAAAAAACTCAAATCGAAGCAAATCAAAAACGATAGGTTCCACCGAGATTTGAACTCGGGTCGCAGGATTCAAAGTCCTGAGTGCTAACCGCTACACCATGGAACCTGACAAACACATGCTTATCATTTTGCAATGATCATATTGCCGCTCCGCAGAAACACCAGTTTCATGTCAATTTGTGATGCGGAAGCTTTTTCTTATTGACACCCTCGCAGAATGATGAGATGATCTTTGCCTCTTGAAAGACAGGTGTTTGTCAGGTTCTATGGTGTAGCGGTTAGCACTCAAGACTTTGAATCCTGCGACCCGAGTTAAAATCTCGGTGGAACCAATCGTTTTTGGAAAATTGCGGATAAACTATCGTAATCTTGCTGAGAGATTACCACCCTATTTTGAGCTCAATTTTTTCGATTTCTAGAAGGGAGTTAAAACGCCTGTACACTCTTAAAATGTTTGTTATTATATCACCAAATTTTTATTTTATCGATTTTTTGTATCTCTTCCAGAAATCGAAATAATTGAGCTCACATTGTAACTATTAATTTTTACATTCAAAAATTGATATTCTCCATTTTTGGTGTTCCTATTGCTTTTCTCCATTTTGTAGGTGTGCAGTCAAACTTTCAAAAAAGAAACAAAAACGATAGGTTCCACCGAGATTTGAACTCGGGTCGCAGGATTCAAAGTCCTGAGTGCTAACCGCTACACCATGGAACCGCACGAGAGTTTTACCCGGCAAACGCATAGATAAAAGCAACAGGAGAGTGACGTGTCTAGTGAAAAGAGAGTGACCGACCACTATTTTTTTTCTATGTTACACAAAAAATGCTCTTCCTCTTTGTCCAGTATTTTTTATTCTTCTCGTTGGGAAGACAAGAGAAAAAAAAGAGAAAGAGGAAAAATAGAGAGGAGAAAGCCAAAAAACTTTCATACTTTATATGGCTGTGTTCCCTCTTCTACACACCCAAAAGTATTCACATTTCTAATGTGTGTTCCATGAAAAATAGTTCAAATTTCCACTGATATTCCATGAAGCCAGTGCGTGTGTCCTTCTGAAAAGCCAGCCAAACATCGAGTCCCTTATTAAAAAGACTTGGGAAAGTCAAGAAACTTAGAGACAAAGATTGAGGACAACAGCGGCCATCGGAGCATACATCCCATCCTCAAGTGTGCAGGAATCTTGGCGTAGTTGCCTCCAAAAATTATTGTCAAATACAACACACAGGCTCCGAGGCAAGCCTATCCCTCCTACCAATTCCCCTGTTTACCCAATATACACACACCCTTTTGCCCCTTACACCTTACAAGCTTCTTCCAAGGTCTCACGTGTGTGCTCCCTAACTATTCCCTATTGACACTTTCATTGGCTCTGATTGTTCCAAAACTACTGTGCTGAGCTCTTTTCACAGTTCAAAATGAGCCAAAAAAGTGGTGTCGGCGACGATATACAATTGTTGGTGGCTGAGCTCGTCGACCAAGTTGAGCTTGAAAAACCACTCATCGCTACTATTATTCAGATGAACACAACTACCGTGGATAAGCAAGAAGAGGAGATTATTGATGCTACCGGACCAGGTGAAACTACTGTGGAGAAGAAAGAAACAGTGGTTGTCACGTCGGAAACAAAGCCAGAAGGAGATGTTGAAGAGCCTGATTATGCCCTAGTACCAGCGGAATCAGAAGATGAAAATGCGGCTGCAGCTGTAAAAACCGTACAAAATGAGATTGCAGAGGTTATGGAAGTTCTAGAGGCACCACAGAAGGCAGAGCTAGTGACGATTCCAATGACACACAGTGAGCCGGAAGATCATAAGGTGAGTGGTGTTCCATTTTTTTTTTTGAAACACGCAGTACGGGTATCCTAGACAACCATTCAAATTTTAAATGTTCCTCTTTTTCTGCAAGTTAGAAACTCGGAAAATCAAATCAGTCATCCTAAGTCTTTGGAACTGATAAATTTTTTACAAATATTATAATTCCCTACTTTAGCTTATTAGAAAATTTTTACACTGTCAAAAAAGTTCTTTATATCTATTCAAAAAATCTGGAAAAATCACATATTACATCGGAACGTCATCCCTCAAGCAATTATATTCCTTCTCTCTACTACCGTTGTCCGTTTTTTTTCGTCCAAGCGGTCCCCATATACAACCTACTTTACTTTCACTGGTATCAATGTCGTCATACCAGTTACACGTATGTACTTGATGCATTTTTCGGAGTGTTTGGGGGATGCATCGTGCAACAAGGAGAGAAAACGGGCAAAGTCAAAAAAAGTTATATGAGCGAAAAGCGAGTGCTTTTCCTATTCTCTACATCATTTTCTACCTTTTTTGTAGCTATCTCTTTTCACGATCTGTGTTTAAAACGTTCCTTGTGATTTTCTGAAAGACACTTTTTTATTCATTTTTACAATGCCAACACACAAAAAAGCCAAACCGACGGTCGATATGGATGATGATTATATTGTTTGGTCACGAACAGTTATGCAAATCGGTGAAGATGGTTCCCACCACATCCCCCTCTTCTCTCCGTTATCCCTTCCATTCATTGTTGGAGGTTTTCGTACTCGAAAAAGTGATTGGTTCATAATCGTTTTTTTTTTTGATGTTCGGTAAAATAAATCATTTTGATTCGACCTCACTCGGCCGTCTTGGTAGGCTAGCTCTCATCAAATATTTGATCCTTCTTTTTCTTTTGTGTTCGGCGCGATTTTTTGTGCCATTTCTTTGTTTAGATTGAAATGAGAACCTAAACTACAAGATGATTTTACTTATTTGAATCATATAAAAACTGAAAAAAACAGGAGACTTGCGTCGAAGCTCTTGAAATTTTTTGGAAAGATTTAAGGGCATACAAAACATGATCTACCGGTAGATATATAATATGTCGTACACTTGAAATCAATGTTTAAACTCAATTGTTTTAGTGGCTCGCAGTTTTTTGTCTTTTATATAAATTGAAATACCGCATTCTCTCTGGCAGAAGGAAAGCACGCAAAAACAGTCAACTTTCGGCTCAATTATCTCGATTCCAGTAAAAGATATGAAAAATTTGTCAACTAATAAAATAATGGTGGTAACATGATGAACAATTTGTCAGTTGATCACGTTTTGATAGACGGCACAGAAAATAAGATATATAACTTTAAAGTTGACAGTTTGTGTGGCCTTCCATTAGTGTTTAAATTACATTAAGATACCGTATTTTCTTTAATAAATCTCCACCCAAATCTTTAACTATAAGTCCAATCCTCTCGATTTCTGTGAAAGATATCAAAAATTTGTCAACTGATGAAATGTTGGTGATATTGTGATGAACAATTAATCAGTTGTCAAAATTTTATAATCTTTTATCTGAAACAAGATAATTGAGTTCAAAATGATGACTGGTTAGGCTCCTATCAGAAGAAATACGGTACTTAAATTTGTCAGTGTGCATATATTAAAATTTTTACGGTAAATTAGTTTGATAAAAAATTATTATCTGCCTAAGAATCTCGAAGAAATTAGCCGTCATTAGCCCGATGTGTGGGTTTTTCCTCGATTTTCAAAAAAATTCTGGCTTTAAAACGATTCATTTCTTCCCTCAAAATTCATTTGAACACTTTTCCGAATTCATAGTATCTAATATGTTCCAATAATGTTGTTTTATTCAAACAATTTTTCCTTTTTGATCATCATTTTCGTCATTTGTTACTTTCTGAATAGATGACTCATTCCATTTCGTCTTTTTCTTCTTCGCCGTCAACGCCTACTGTATACACTTCATTCTGAAAGTTTCGTATTTTGATTATTTTGTATTCAGACTTCCAAAAATGATATCATTTGATCCATCCACTTCTGAAATTCACACTCAGAAAATGTCAGGATTCGTCGTGGTTTGTTGTTGTTGTTGTTGTTGTTGTTGTTCAAATTTGAAAACGTGGTATTCATTTAATGATTCTGAGGCAGTAGTAAAATTGCCAGTAGATAACGATCCGATCCGCTCGTTTCTTTCTTTATTTAGAAACAAAAGTGACGGAAGGTGTATTGTAACAAATATGTGATTGACGAAAGATGAAAGATAATAGTTGGGTGTGAACTACCCATATAGTTCGGAAAAAACTTTTAAATAGAACCTTCAACTTTTCTAAATGAACCCATTTGCAGCTCGCCGACGCCGATCGTGACCAAGAGGAAGAACTGGTTTTCAACGAGGAGCGCCGCAAAACAGTGACCATGTGAGTATCCCTTGTTGTTCTCACTCATCCATTTACATCTGACTCAGTGACCAATTTTGAATTAAAAAAACTCTAGTTCTGAAATAGAGAGTCATTTTTTTTCATTTTTTTGCAACATTCGTTTTCGACTGGTAAATTTGGCGAGGTCGTTGAAATTTGTTGTCTGATTCTTTTTCTCAATCTGATTCGCCATTTCGGACATCGCACCAATCAACCGAAAACCGGTTGCGGCCTTGTCTTTTGTTTCTTTTTTCACAGTTCAGTAATGCGTTTCAATTTTTAGGTAGATCCCATTGATTCAAAAAATAAGTTCAGACTTCGTTTTACACCTACAGTAAACGTGTTTTTCAAATGGACTTGACCATTTTCAGGACTATAGAGCTCGGCTTTCAAGTGACCGATCCTTTTAAAAATGGTAAATGTTATAAAACAGACCTGGATTTAAAACGTTTCGATTGCAGAATTTTTCAAAAAATTCCTAGGTTTTCAAGTATTTGCCAATTTTTGAAGGACACTTTTTTTGTCATTTTTTTGTGCTGCAAACGTGCGAAATCGGCTGCTATCTGGAAAAAACTAGCAGTTTTCCAAAAAATCTATGAAAGCAGAATTTTCAATCTGGGCCTGTTTTACACTTTCCGAAGCTTTTAAAGTGATCGGGAACTTGACAGCCGAGCTCTAGACTTCTGAAAATGGTCAAAAGGGCTGTAAATGAACTGAAAAAATGCGTGTATATCTCATTCACCGGTACTATATATAAGTGAAAAACTAAAGTTTCCAAAAATGTTGAGTTCCTAGTAATCTTTTATATTTCCATCCAATTTTTCACTTGTTAGTATGGTTTGCACCCTTCAACAAATAGATATCGATACTCCTCTCCTCTTGATTCGACAAGTGGTTGAATAGGTTCGACAAATAAATCATAGCAAATTGTCCATGTATTCGGAATTTCCCCCCTTCTCCACAAGCTTCGGGAGTGACAAAAACTGGAATGCGGGATAGGAATACCCCACATTTAAAATATTGAAATCGGTAACAGCGGGGGGGGGGGGGGGTGCCAAAACATTAAAAATCGAGAATAAAAATTTGTGGATTTTCGATATGGGTGTGTTGTATGGAAGTCATTAGAATTTTACGACACCCTATTGTTATTTCTGTCCTCAATTTTCCTCATATCAGATACAGGATTCTCAATATCCCATATCATCTAGGTTACATGATTATTCAAACGCTTTAAACTCTCTCTTGTGACATGTTTCTCAGATTCCTGATTACTTTAGAATTGGAAAATTTCATTACGTTGGTGTCAACCTGATTGTTTTTGAAACGGAGAGTTGGAGTTTGCCGAAGATTGAAAACGTGAAACTTTGGGACTGATAAGACACTCATTTTTTGATCATTTTTGATACCCATCAGAAATTTCAAACATTCTATTAATAGAAGGTCATAAACTTAAAGTTTAATCAAAGTTTTATAATTTTCTATTTCAAATTGTTTGAATCATACCTAACACGAAAACCTCAACAAGTTTATCCAGATTTTGATGACGATTTCTGGATATTTCAAAAATAGCGTAATATACTCTGAAAATTTAAGAATCCGCTGGCCGGTTTCAGCCGAGTTATATCAGTTTCAGTACAAAAAAATAGCATTTTCAATGCAAATTTGCAATTTACAAGAACGATTTTTCACCTTCTATGATGTTTCAAAACATGAAATGTGTTGTTTATATTAAGAAGTGAATGAAATTTCATATTTCAGACATTTTCTCAAAAAATAAAGTTTTTTTTTGGTTATTCGAGTAAATCTAGAAAATCGTGTAAAAAATCAAAAACAATTTTTTTGAGAAAATTTCTGAAGTATGAAAACAAATTTAATTCTTAGTATATCACATATTTCTTGTTCTTAAACGTTGTAGAAATGGAGAAAATCGTCTGTGAGAACCGCTCTTTTGCACTCAAAAGGCGATTTTTCTCACTGAAACTGTTATAACTCGGCTGAAACTAGCGAGCAGATTCTAAAATTTTCAGATTTGTCCAGATATGCCATATTTAAGTTATCCAGAAATTTTCATCAAAATTTGGGTTTACGAGGTGTTGAGGTTACCTTGTAAGTTTTGCTCTTTTTGGTGTTTTTCTTCCTACAGCGCGTTTCTGACCTAGTTTGCATAAAGTATGATTTCCCCTTCTCTTGACCAACACAATCAATTCCAATCAAAAAACTTCAAAAGTCCCCCCTCCTGACGCGCATCGTTTTCTTCGCATCATTCCCAACACCGCCGTCATCACACATTCACACCGAAAAAGGACAAACATTTGATGCTCGCGCCTCTCTTCTTCTTCTTTCTACCTCCACACATACAACACAAACAATTTCAATACCATTGGCGGTGGCTCTGAGACGTATACAAATACAATACCACCCTCTCTATCAGTTGGGTGATGATTTCTTTTCTTTTTCCTCTCCTTTTTTCTGCAGCTGATAACATCATATATGCTCTCTAACCCTTCTCTCTCGGTCTTTTTTAATTCCTAGTTTTTTTTTCTATTGTCACATCACATACACTCAAATGAGTTACTCTCCACTCTCCAAATATTTTCTCCGCAGCACATTGTAAGATATAATTTTCATATTACTATAAGAGTTTCAAATAGTTTTGGAGATTTTGTAAGATCAAATTTTTTGCAGGGACGACAACTCATCACTCCGTTCGGCCTCCATCACTTTTGACGCCATTCGAGACGAGCAAGATTTGCTGAACGAGTCTTTTGCATCGAATCCAACTGATGAGACGGTGTTGATGGAAAAGTAAGAAAAAAATTTATGAATTCTTGAGTCATCGTATTTCCTACAAATGCTCGTTCGTTCCGGACGATTCATTTTGTACAGTTCTGGAAATTGTTCAATCTCGAGAAGGAGGGGAGTGAGGAATTCAATACTACATCAGTCTTCCGCTTAGTCAGTGTACAAATATAGGACTCATGCCAAAACGTTCTGCCTCCAAACGTTTTTGGTTCACTTGTGCAAATTTTTCCAAAACCAGTTCCAATGTTTTTAAACGGCGGGGTTTAAAACTATTTTCAACACGTCCGAATTGAGCCTGGGTAGCTAGAATACTGGTCCATAACATATGAAGAAATATATTTTTCAGTTGATTTTCGGCTATTTTTACCATTTTCAGAAATCTAGAGCTCGGCTGTCAAGTGCCCGATCACTTTTAAAACTTCGGAGGGTGTAAAACAGACCTCGATTAAAA